CTTTGCACGTTATTTTCCTATCCAAGGGTTCCGGAAGCGCGCCATCAGGGGTCAACTTTCAGGCTCTATACCAGTCTAACCTGAACCATGTCGTTATACCGTGTGATTCACCTGTACTCTGCCCGCTCTTGAATATGCTCTTAAAATGAAACTGACCATAAATACATTAATGTTCCTTACGGAAAAACCGGCATTTGTATCTTTATTAGTTGCGTTATCGGCAGTTCATCCCAAAATATGACGACCAAGATAAGAACCAAGTAAACAATTGTCCTGGAAGTTTTCCGAAATCAACAGCCAACATGACCTACATTCTCAGTGCTGTCTAAACGATGCATCACTTGAGAAACCAACTGTGAATAACTTAAACTAAGGTATGGGAGTCACGCAGAGCCAGGGCAAGAGTATAAAAGCTTGCACCCCCGCCTGGAGCAAATTGAAAGGGTACAAAGAGAAAGGAATAAGGGGAAGGGGAAAAAGGTGATGGAAATCACCAGTCTGCTTGAAAATACCTCGGAAACGATCCCCTTTCATAGTTGCTATTGACTATTGCTCAACCCTACCCGCTCTTAAACGATCTTTGCCCCTTCCATGGAGATCAGATGACTAAACAACTCACCGACCTATTACAATACCCATCTACTGCAATAAATGCCGAAACAAACGCACAGCTGCATCTGGATGGCGTTGCAGTGGTACTCAGGCTGATGCTCTCATCAGTAGGCAGGAGCTCATGTACATCTAGGTCATTTTATACATTTGGGGTCCAACGTGTGACATTTTCCCGTCCGTGTTACACCTGATATGTATACTTTGACAAAGGATATATCACTGAAATCGATTTTAAACTATGTTTATTTGTTTGGCAGGTAATTTGCAGTATTTATTTAATCTTGAAAATTAAAGAATAACCTCTAAACACTGCAAACTTCTTACGCCAGACGTAACAGGAGCGGAAAAAATTGGACCCCAAATTTATGGAATGACCCATTTCGGTCACACGGAACAATGCAGTTCCCTAAATTCAAACGTGCATTCCTCTTTACACAGTTCGATCCGTTGTGGTGATAGTCTACACAGGTAGTCAACTCGCATCAAACTTAGCGCAGCTCGCCGTACCGTACTAAGGTAGCGTGCGTCTCAGATCAGACGCCTTGAAACGGCTTTTTATACTACCGAATGAACGAAATATTATTTCGTGGGAACGAAATATTGCTGCCAGGGAGCTTTCGAGGGAGCGAAACTTGAACATTTTGAGGGAACGAAACAAAACAAAATTGTCCCTTTAGGGGCTCCATAAAAATGTGTTGAAGTGTTGTAAAAATAGCAGTTAATAACAAACACTGCAAGCAAAGGAGTCGCGGACTTGCGGTTTGTGTTCCCAACCTATCGGCACTTTGGTAATCTTCAATTGCTTAATTGCTTGAATTGAGATGGTCAAAGATTGTGTTTGCTGATATAAACCGTGGCCGGAGCTTCTCTGAAACGCGTTTTACATGACCGCTAAAGCAGTGTGTTCACAAAGTGACAATTAATAGTGGATCATCTCAGTTAAAACCAACTTTAGTCCCAGCCAAGTTTATTTGGGAGAAATAAAACTGATGAGAGATGATAGGTGTAAACTGAAATATCCACAAACCATGCAATCATCACAGGATTCCCGGCGTCAAGAGTCCCAGAAGCATCATAGAGTCACGTGTAGTGATGATGGGGCCAACTTCGAATAACCCAGATGTCCCACATGTACATCAACTTTTATACGAACGCTTACTGTAACAGTAAACTCGAGGTGTCTTGAATTTGAAAAAAAGGATGAAAAATCCTGAAATTAGGTTATAATAACAAATCTCGAACTGGTAAACTCATAAAACGATCACCTTAGTGAATGGTATTTTCCTGTACATGCATGGAGCTATTCCTTGTGTTTACAAACCAGTCTTGCCAGGCTGTTAGCGGGTAAAAATAATTTGCTGACTGCTTTGTAATGATAAGCACAGGAACAATTTTAATTTCTTCGGCCGCGGCGTTATTCAACTTCAAGTTGCGTACCATGACCTGGGCGTTTCGGGTTTGGAGGCGTTGTTCAACTTGTGTACTATGACCCGGGCGCTTATTTACAACTCGAACAGTTAATATTTAGTCAGAACTCAGCCCATATGTTAAACAGTGTCCAGAATTATAGTCCTCGCCGACAGTTGAAGACAAAATCAGCAGGTCAACGCAGCGGGCACACACAGGACCAGGCCTACCGCAGCTGGCACGCGTAACCTCTACACATACCTTGACCCAAGAGAAGGAAATTTACTACAGTTACACTGAAAATGGATCTTGATTTCGACGACACGAAGAATCTATTGACTGGATGGGATATCGCCATTATTGTTGTGGTTTTCCTTGTTGTTCTTGCCGTTGGATTATGGGTGAGAATGGCCTCAGAGTGTGCCAACGATATTAATCTTAGACTTGAAGTTTCGGGGTGAAGTAGGATTTTTCCAACTGATGTATATTCTTTGCTTGTTTGCTAACCTTTTCACTAACATATTCGCTGGTGAAATTTATTGAAATTGAATCAAGGTCCCCAATTCGAAGGTCCAGTAGGGTGGTTTAGATAAACAGAAACGAACTGACACACTTTCAGAAATATATACTGTCAGACTGAATTCTATCACGCCGGTATTATTCGAACCGTACAACATGCTCCTGTATATTCATACCTTTTAAGTACACAGTATGCATGGTATGCCCATACATATACCACAGTATATCTTCAAGTTCATCTTGCTCTGTAGATCAAGGTAGGACAAGGCACGTTCTAATCGAAATATTTCAGTACTATTTGGGTGTTAGTTTAGAAATGGGTTGTTATAGTTTTATAACGTTTTTCGTTTTTGAAAGTCTGCCTGGGTGTCAAACCGTGGAACAACCAAGGGATACTTCCTGGCTGGTCGCAGCATGTCATGGTGGCTGGTAAGTGGCACGCATATGTTTGGTAAAAAAAAAATAATGGCTATTGTCTCAAAAACACTCTCTGACGCAATGCTCTATAGTTATTTTCAAATCTCAAACCTGAAGAAATACGGGCTATAGAGCACACAGAAAAACTGCGCTTCCTACTTCACATTGAGTATTATTTTCATAGGCAGGTGACGTTCAGCCCTCGAAGTGTAACGTGAATGGAGAATTATATAAAAATTGCTAATGTATGAATATTTTGGCTCGTAACGATATCTCGACATGATGAAAGTGGGATCGTGACAGGGCCGAACATCTTTTATAAGGTCGAAGTTACTAAGATAACGAACGCCACTCATTCACTTCCCTCAGTTTGTGACAAAGTTTGCAATGTAGGCCTAGGTTTAGTAAATAAGAACTGCATAAATTATGGTTGTAGAATTAATCTGACAATTTCATGTGACTTTCCAGGTTGGCTTATCGCTGTACGTGAGCAACATAGGAAGCAGTTCATTCATTGGTTTGGCGGGCACTGCGTCGCTCTCAGGCTATGCTGTTGTTTCCTACGAGTTTCATGTAAGCTGGCATAAGACAGGATAGTTTTCTAAAAGCAGTTACTTATGGCATATTAAATTAAAAGATTGGTAGTAAAAAAAATCAGCATTTTGCTACTTATATCTTGGAAAAGCAATAATCAGGCTTTTGTCCTAATTCTTTTTATACTAGGATGTGTTTGTTATTTCTTCACAGGGTTTGTTTTCCCTAATCCTGCTTGGTTTTATCTTCATGCCCGTGTACACTGCGTCGGGGGTAAGCGAAGCAGCGAGAAGTTTCTATTTCTCAAAAACACGGCACAATAACTGAATTAAGCAATCGTAAAGCGTTCGCATAGCAAGCAAAAATATTTGAAAAAGTGCAAAGAAATTGTATCAAAGTTTTAAATGCAGCAAAATTTACAAACAATTTTCTGACATTATCACGCACACGTATGACGAATCATAACCCTTGTATATAGGAAAGTCTCTGTTGTATAATTTTCTTGTCCGAATTTTTTCGAAGTGGATATCTCTCAACAAATTGTGCACTTAGGTATCCACGATGCCCGAGTATCTCAAGAGACGGTTTGGAGGCGAGAGACTTCGAATATTGCTTTCAATTACGGCGGTCGTACTCATTGTCTTAACGAACATGTCGGTAAGTTAGCTGGAGAGGGCAAGGAACACAATGATTAAGCAGGAGAAGTATGACTCACTTTAAAAAAAAGGGGGAATTTGTTTGAGTTACACTGTTTTGTTTCTTAAATACCGACGAGGATGGGATTCGAACCCACGCGTGCATAGCACAATGGATTAGCAGTCCATCGCCTTAACCACTCGGCCACCTCGTCTTACGTGTATGTGAAAGTATTGGCAATTTCGTAGGAGCTGGGTGAAATTTTGAACATTCGAGAATTATAGGTAGTAAATATTGTCTGGATGGGTTGGGTGGTGAATAAAGGCGTGTTTTTTTAATTTTTAGATTTAAATTTTGGCATACACCTTTTTAGCAACAATGCACTCAACGCAAAAGGGTCTTTTATCTGTCTAACCTGTCCTTTTGAAGTCGGAGATGTACGCAGGTACCATCATCATCCAGCAAGCGCTCAACTGGAACCTCTATCTATCAGTCTGTCTCTTACTGGCAATGACCGCTGCTTATACGATAGCCGGCGGTTTGACTGCGGTCATCTACACTGACGCTCTACAGTCATTTATCATGATAGGAAGTGCCATCGTTTTGTCCATTATTGGTAGGTTCAGATCCCTTCTTAAAGCCTTTTGACTGTTTGAATATGAATGAATATGTTCTCAAATGAATTATACTGTCAGATAATTCATTGAAACGTCGTGGTATTAAGTGAACCAAGTCAGATAAAACCTTCCCTGCAATACATTGTATTGAATTAATTAAGAGGCGTCATTCACGCCAAAGTACGAATACCTTCAATAACTGCAGTGGTGGACGCATAAAGTAATTACTTATTGGGTAGAAAGTCAGTTAACGTGGGTTTTTTTACCGGAAAAAGCTGCTGGGGGCGGTTTTTTATACCCATAAATTCCTCAACCTTGCAATTGTACTTTGTCACAACCAAGCACGACGCATTAATTCGTCAACTGTGGAAACGATACAAGATTTCTTAAACGAGTGTACACGTCCGCTGTGGAACAAGTAAGGAAAAAATATATGTGTTTACACGTCATCCAGCGTCAAGTGGTCTAAGGCACCAGACTCCTCTTCTACTGTTCGACGGGTGCGTGGAAATACTGATGAAGAAAGAGATTGTTGAAGCCATGGATTGACAGAAACCGAAGATGGAGCTTGTTGGAGTATTTGGGTTTTGCTGCCCCCTCCCCTGTTAATGCCTGGCATCAATACAAACACCAAAATAACAAATGAGGCTCTTTCATCTACAGTATATTTGCCATTTTGTAGCGTTTATCCATATCGGAGGCTTCGAGAATCTGTACCTGAAATTTATGACGAGCATACCGACACCAACCTTCCTGGCTGGAAACACAACGTGCGGTATCCCGAGCGAGGAATCCTGGCATATCTTTCGTGATGCTACCACCTCTGACCTTCCCTGGCCTGGGGTGTTAGTCGGTATCTTTCTGCTATCGGCTTGGTATTTCTGCACCAACCAGGTTGGTTCTATTCTCCGAGATGGCCAGCTGTCCCACACCAATGAACAAATTTTAGCAAGCTGCCCAAAATTAAGAACGTCTTGAACTTTGTCCAGTGCAAAAGCCAAGTGGATTGAAGGGTTGGGTCCCGACAGAATTTTCCAAGACAGACGAAATAAGTAAATAACTGAAGCTTGCGATGTAGGAATACAAACAAAACAGCAACAAAAACAAAACAAAATAACGACGAGGATGGGATTCGAACCCACGCGTGCAGAGCACAATGGATTAGCAGTCCATCGCCTTAACCACTCGGCCACCTCGTCTGTAAAAACTTCCGTAAGTTTGCTGTTATGGAGGTGAGAAGATAAAGAAAACATTACACCCACCACCACGCGCTCAAAGTCGTTTTTCAGAAGAAGTGACGAATTTTTATTTTGCTGTTGCAGGTTTTGGTGCAGAGATCCTTGTCAGCAAAGAATGTCACTCATTCTAAAGCGGCAACCCTCTTAGCAGCTTCGTTGAAGGTTCTTCCAATCATTCTAATGATATACCCGGGCATGATAAGCAGGGCTCTCTGGCCAGGTTGGTCCATGAAACAGCCGTCCGTCATTTTCATCTTAGGTCCTGTTTGGTACAATTAAGTCTGCATAGTACATTCACATTTTGTAGTCCAGCGTATTTAAGACAATCCTTTTAGGCCTGATAAGATTTTCCTGATGAGTTTATAGTTTCATAGAAGGTGAAGTTGCCCTTGAAGCCTTTATCGTTTTAAAAACAGTGTGGAAATATGAGGCCCTTCATACATGATTGTACAGTTCACTTGTTTTGTTCTCTTTCAGATTACGTGGCCTGCCAAGACTCCGATACTTGTAACCAAGTTTGTAGGAATCCCAACGGCTGTTCGGATATCGCTTACATCAGACTTCTTCTCAAACTCATGCCAACAGGTCAGCTATGGTATAGTGACTGTGATGTTTCCTCTTTTCGTCTGTGTGAAGCTTTTATAGAACCACAGAACTAAGGTTTTCCTAACGTTCAGTGACAATGGAAATCTGGGAGGCAGGCACTTTCTGATAGTCTCAAATGTCACATTACAACTATATCAGTCAAATGGAATACTTGTTATTGCCAAAAAGTGATTAACGCCTTTGATATCTAAAAAAAAACTTTCCAAGTTGCAAATATGAATTTTTGGTAGCATTAAACTGGGCGTTTTCTTCCACCCACCCATCCACCCACCCCAAAACCGGAGCTTTTAAAAACGTATCAGTTATCTTCTTACCTATTTGTACGACAGAAGAGCAAAGATTTGACTGATCAATGTTAATGGTTTCAAAACAAAAACAACAAGGTATTTTCTCAGTCATAGTTTAGCTGAAATCCACACCTTTGCAGTAAGCGTATAGGCCTTATCACGACAGGAAAGCATTACTACAGCACCTTACATCGGGGCTTGGTAAGAGCAAAACTCGTATATAAAAGCACACGTTGGCTGCGTACATTGTGACATTGTGGCGTGAAATTGAAATGAATACATGAGACAAGTCTGCATTCATCTGAGTTTTGATGGTGAGACAATCACAATGGAAACATAGCCTACATGGACTGTGACATAAAAGTTGTTAACTACAAGAACACTGGCTTTGAGAGTTAAAGTTTTATGCCAGCTCAATATGACACCTTACCTTCTCGTCTCTTTCCTCCTCAGGCCTGAAGGGCTTGATGATGGCAGCCATGCTGGCCGCGCTGATGAGTTCACTGACGTCAATTTTCAACAGCGCAAGCTCTATCATTACCATGGACCTGTGGATCAAAGTGAGACCTCTGGCGACAGAAACTGAGCTCGTTATTGTTGGCAGGTATCTTGTGTCTCATTCCACACCCAAAGCAAACAGTGATATACAGTAATATTTTATGGTGATGAGAATACATGTAGCAAGACGCCCATAACTAAAGCAAAAACTTGTGTGAGCAGACAGACCTCTCTCATGTCGGCAAGGAACTTTTAATGGCACCGGTGAGGGTATGACTGGTTGGCACAGCGATTGGCACCTTCCAAGCCCGCAAATTCCCTGTTTTAAATTCTAACCTAGCCGGCACACGAATTCAGTGTTCAGAGTTTAAAACTGAGAATTTCTCCAGTGACCATCCTCTACGTGTTTCTTGAGGCTTGCGAGGATGGTGCCATTGGCACTCCCGAGGACTCCTGGCTGACACTGACAGGAACAAATAATAAGTCACTGTTTACCTCATTCTGCTTCGACCCAGGTTGTGCACCTTGGTGTTGGCAGGTATCAGCGTCCTTTGGTTACCACTGATTCAAGTATTTGGCTCGGGTCAGCTGTTTGTCTACATCCAGTCGATAACATCTTACCTTTCGCCGCCTATCTTGGCCATATACACAGCCGGGATATTTATCGAGAGGGTGAATGAACCGGTGAGTAGGTATACTACTGTAGGATATATCCTGCATCGAGCATCAAATCATATAAAGTACCTAGGCCTCTATTCTGATTACTCATTTCACTTTCCCGAGGTCGTCCTCGCCTACAGTTCTATGTACACCCTAAACGACAACCAGTGCTTCATTTAACAACGCTGAAATTCTCCCAAACATAACTGTCAAAATCTGACACTCCAGATGTTGCTTGGCTCCCCCCCCTTCCCAACGTATTCATAGCTTTCACCTTAGATCACTATCTCTGTTTAACTTCCGTCTTTTCAGGGTACGTTCTGGGGGCTGCTGCTTGGAGAAGTCGCTGGATGCACTTGGATGATCCTGGACTTTGTCTTTGTTGCTCCTCCTTGTGGTGGAGTAGACGACCGCCCCCTGGCAATCCAGAAAATTCACTACCTGCATTTTGCCATCATGAATTACGTAGCCACGACTTTGTTCATTGTCGTGATAAGTCTGTTGACGAAGCCCATTCCGCGAGATAAGGTGAGAGCTTTGCTCACTGATAGTGGTTTGAGAGGGAATGGAGATGGTGGGTGTGAATAATGATGGCGAGGATATAGCCCGGTAGCGGTGGTAACGTTTGCAGTGGGATGACGTTGCGTAATGACTGGGAGTGATGTGGTGATAGTGTGATGGTTATTGAAGTTATATATGGTAACGATGCCAAAAATCAATGATGAGGACAGTAGTAGCGCTTATGAACAGTACAGGATTATTATAATATAACAATAATAATACCCAGCAAGGATAATGCGAAAGAACTTCCAGACGAGTAAAAATATCAACTCATTTACACTTTTACAGCTAGTCAGACTGACTTGGTGGACTAAGAACAGCAAGCTTCCCCGACGACCTATGTCAGAGAAGGAGAGCAAGAAGAACTTAGAACGAGAAGAAAAGAAAAGAATGAAAGCTGCAGCCGAACAGACTGGTAGGTCTTATCGAATAAGAACCAACTGATTGTGCAACCAACTGTATCAAATCAGAATCAGCTAATTTTATCCACCCAGAATCAGTTAGCTGTATCGACTCGGAATCAACTGACTACATCAACTCAGAATCAAATGACTTGATCGATTAACAATCTGCCGACTGTATTAACTAAGAATTAACTGACTGTATGGACCCAGAACCAGCTGATTATATCAACTCAGAATCCAATGACGTTATCGACTCAGAATCAATACAGTATCAGAATCAGCTGATTAAGAATTAACTGAGATGTATGAACTCAGATTCAGCTGACTGCACTGTGTCCCAGTTCCTAAACAACAGACTTGTCCCAACAAGGTTTTATGATGATAAAACTGTCACGTCCACCAGGTGAAGACAACTAAAGTGATCCACTATAATGAAAAGTCGTAATAGACTTTATACCTCAAATTTTAAGTGATATTGCTTCTCAATAAACACACTAGCGGCATTTTTCGTAACCAGACAATTTAAATATCTCAACTGTGAGTCCTGCAAAATTCTTAAACTATGTAGTAATTTCAAATTTTCAGATGAACCACCTTCTGGCGCCCGCCGCGTCTGGAACTTTGTGTGCGGCATAGAAACTAACCCTGGACCCGAACCCTCACCTGAAGAGATGGAAGAGATTGAGAAGAAGATGACGTCACTGGAGGAGGATCCCAAATGGGCCAGGGTAGTTAACATTGCCTGCCTCCTTGTCTGCTTTCTGGGCATAATGGCTTTTGGATCTTTTGCATGATGTTTAAAATCCATCAAAGGGCACCGCAATTACAGGCAATTGCTTCTGGCGTTTTAATGATGCCTTGCTGTCATGAACTACCTGCGTGTATTATGAAATCGTTGGGTCGAAATAACCGCACAATTTTGGCCTGGATCTGCAGTATTTTTTTTTGGTTCTTTGTTCGCCTAGGTAACCTAAATGTAGTCCAAATGTAGCCCGACCTCCGCTCTGTATGGAAATAAAGGAACACACTATTGAGGTTGAGATGCCTTTTTCCTTAACTCTTTGCCGTTTAATGACAGCTGAGGGCATTCTTATCGTGATGACATTGTATACGCTCACAACGTACAGCTTAGGTGTAATTCTGCAGAAATAGGAACCCAAAATTAGCTGATGACCGCACCGAGATAGAAATAGCAGTATGAGAGAAAATAAAGCCATAAGCCCCTAGAGAAGATGTATGTGCCCTTTAAACATTCCATTAAAATTCAGTATGTATGCTACACGGCTACAGTATTATGCATTAACTTCTTCGTGTATTTGATTACACTGCATTTTCTGAAAAATATTGTTGCGTTGGTGTTAGAAACATCTTTAAGCAAAACGACTGAGGTTGATACTGTAAAAAATATTAACCCGTGTATATTTTATTCAGCAGTGGGCCATAAATATTAGATTTACAGATTATTAGACAGCTTTCAACGCTGATTTGGTGTTTGAACAAATGCTAATAAAGATAAAAAAAGGTCGCCGACTGAGATTGGGCCTTTTCTATTGTAAACTGAAACATTAATTTGACTTATTTTTAATAGTTTGTTTGAGAGTGTAACTTGAAAACTTTAGATGACGTCATGAAGCACTGAAATGTAAAAATTTTAGGATAATTGGACAAATAAAATTGCACAAGCTAGCGTTCTTTGTGAAACAAGTGTCAATATTTACAAACATTATGCAACGTTCGTGGTGAGATAAAACGCTGGTCAACCGTGATTCACTGTGTTTTTCATAATGAGCATGTGCAGTTGTGGTTGAAACGTGTAAAGCACAGCAGGCCCTATACCACAGAGATCTTATTTGTCTAAACTGCAAAACAAAAAGCACAGAATCGGAGAAATCTTCTTGAGATAGCCGCTCGGAAGATCTTGGCCTTGTCATGGACCTAGATTTTGACGACACCGCCAACTCCCTGGAAGGGTGGGATATCGCCATAATTGCCGTGGTCTTTGTTCTCGTGCTTGCTGTTGGAATTTGGGTAAGGTGTTCGATTCAACACCTAACGTATCTTCTGTGTTGAAGAGACCTTTTACATTACGTTTCGGGTCTATTTTGTTGTCGATGAAAATGCCGCTACCTTATCCAGAACTAACAAAATACATCCCAATTTACTCTATATGAAAGGCGTGAACAGGATGTTCCTATTTCTTTGAACGGATCCCTTTAATGACTTCAGATAAAATAGTCTAACAACATCATTAAAACATCATGATTCCCTAAAAGTACTTGGGAATTGTGTTTTTCGTCGACAATCGTTTCAAAGGATTACTTTGTTGGAAAATTATGTAGTTTAGGGGTTTCTTGTAAGCCCTATCGATACGTTTTTTAGATTAATTTGATGGGAATTTTCTGTGTAGTCCGCCTGGGTTTCCAATCGCGGAACAACAAGTGGTTATTTCCTCGCTGGACGGAACATGTCGTGGTGGTTGGTAAGGACTTGTGATATTTCACTACATTTAAAATGACCGTTATTTTATTAAAACCAATTTATCACAATTATGACATATTAAATAATACGCATATTATATCATTTTAATCTAATAATCTGAATACGTATACTTGCATTTTTTTCTAGGTTGGCTTATCATTGTACGTGAGCAATATAGGTAGCAGTTCATTCATCGGTTTGGCTGGTACTGCGTCAGTTTCTGGCTACGCTGTCATTGCATACGAGTTTCACGTAAGTCGTGGACGTAGTTATTCCAAAGCATTATTTGCCATCGTTATTACGAATTGACAAAAAAGGAAATTATCTCAATGATCCCAAAATACATGCAACTTGAAAGAGAAAAATAGTACATGTTTTTCATAAGAAGGTATGTATTTGAACAATGTTACTTACCTTCTTACCTAAAGTTACATTGCTTCAGGTTTACTCTCCTTTTACCTTAGGGTTTATTTTGTTTAGTTCTACTTGGTTTCGTCTTCATGCCTGTATACATCTCAGCAGGGGTAAGTACTCACAGTTATGCAGCATTATTAAAGCAAATCACCCTGGCTTATACATTAAGAGACGCCAATGGATTGGCAAGTCGCCATTTTGTTTCAAATGTTGAACTAAATGGCGTTTGGAGTCGTGCGCAATGTACATGCATCAAAGTGGATGTTGGATTGTAAATGATCCCCGGTGTGGCCATTAACGAATTGCATGAGGTAGCTAAGCAGCCATGGGCGTGAATCCCGGGGGATGAGGGGTATATCTCCCATCACTTTTTAAGGGGGAGGGGGCTATTCGAATCACCCCCACTGTTTCGCGATGAAAAAAATTATTAAAAGTCACGGTGGATTGTGAAGAATTTTCAGGATTTTCTAACGACTAAATGATTGCAGATGATTGAAAGTAATTTTCTGATGTAAGATTCTGGTTGAATTTAATACATATTACAGATATACGTCTTTATCATGAACATCGGCCCCTATGATAGCGGATGTAGAGTCGCCCTTCCCCCGCCTTTTAGATTTCTTTGGCCGGGCAAGTCATCCCCCTTCCCCCCCCTAATTTCCAGCATAGATTTACGCTACTGCTGGCAGCCGTAGCGTGTGGGTCTATTATGATAGATTGTTTTACTCTCTTATACATGTAGATGTTTAGCGAAATTCTCGTAACATTTTAAATCACAATCCTTGATTATTACAGATGTTTAAATGATTCTCCCCTAACCCTTTCTGTCAACCTGAAACTGAGACAGGTATCCACGATGCCGGAGTATCTCAAGAAGCGGTTTGGAGGCGAGAGACTTCGAATATTGCTATCAGTTACGGCGGTTGTGCTCATTGTCTTGACGAATATTTCGGTAACAGAGTATACTATGATGCGTGTTCAATCAATTTGAAGAAAAAGCACCTCATATTTCCATTGCAATCTTACAAAAGTGTCTAGTTGTTATTGAAACATGTTTGTAAGCGTTAAAAAAGACGATTTTCAAACAAGGTCTATTTTCACCGGTGAGAAAAAAATACGACGAGGGTGGGATTCGAACCCACGCGTGCAGAGCACAATGGAATAGCAATCCATCGCCTTAACCACTCGGCCACCTCGTCGCTTGAAAAACGGCATAATTTATGGTGATTTATATCAGCCACGCGCCCCGCGGATTTCGCCCCGCGGATCTCGCCCCGCGGATCTCGCCCCGCGGATCTCGCCCCGCGGATCTCGCCCCGCGGATCTCGCCCCGCGGATCTCGCCCCGCGGATCTCGCCCCGCGGATCTCGCCCCGCGGATCTCGCTGAGAAATTTTACCACTGGCAGTTGTGTACACAAATAACGTACCGACCTCAAAGAGTATAAGTATTAGTGTAACTTAATTCGTGTTCTCATTTATTGTAACACTGGCGGCCTACGCACAGTTGATAAGGCTTCGTCGTTTGCAAAAGAGGAGTCTAAGTTGCATATGCGACCAGCAGGGGTCATCGGTAAGTATATTTGAATCGTTTCAAGTAATGCCATTTGAGTTGGATTTATGGTTTGTAAAACCTGATAAACTGTACGACGAAAAACTGTGTTCTTGTATTGTTTTCAGGAAGTAACATGGAAGACCTTTTGCAGGAACTTGGATTGGAGGAAGTTGTTGATGCAATGTGGCAAACATTGTAAGTATTATAATAACTGAAAGAATGGCATACCATTCTGCAATAAACACGTGTTGTCTGATCGATGGGAATTGCCTCGGAAATGGTCCTTCCCAGAGTAGCCTAAATGAATCGTAAATTTTGTTGTACTAGAAGTGAGATTTTGCACACAATTGGTTTTTGTTTTGATGCATTGCCCACAGCCCTAAAGAAGCAAGAGTCGGCATATATTAATTACTTGTGGGAATCTTATCAGTGCCATTCCACTGTGCTTTGATATTAATGGAAGGGGAGGGTTGCATGTCAGATTTTATTTCATATGTATTGGTAGATTTATAGATACATGTATTACTCTTTGTGTGTAATTTCTCTTGACTGTCGACGCTCACGGTATAACATTGTTTTGTAAGTTTGCGTGAAATTAGTTAACTCCCAGCCGGATGCCCTATGCCGGTAGAACCTTGCGCATGCGTTGTCATTATGTCATTGGTTGATCAATATTTATTTCTGTTATCGGAAGGAACACTGGTACTATTGTTATCGTCTGGCCTTTCCTTGCTACATGAAACGTAAAATACAAGGTGGCAATGACTTTCCAAGGAAACGATAATGCGTGTCAAGGACTTTCCTGAATGACCTTACACGTGAGAGTTTGACGGTACAGAGTGGATGAAAAGAGGAACTGACATGTAATTGTTAATTTCGACAGAGGTAGGGTTCATGTGAACCTAAGGAAAGTATTGTTTGTGTAGTTTGAATCTTCTCTTTGAAACCTTGATCAGAATAAGTAATAATTTTTAATTTTGTTTTAAAAGTCCTGTTACTTTGTTTTAATTATTTAAAGGTAATTTAATTTTGCATTTTAATGTACAGCGCTTTGAGATGTCATTGACAAGGTAAGCGTTTTTTAAACAATTAATTATTTTTATCATTATTATTATTAATTACGTTCACGATTGACTGAGCAGTGACCAAATTTATGAAAGGTTCTTTTTATAAAATCGCGCCACTAGTCCACTAGTCCACACAATAAATCCACTAGTGGATTTATTGTGTCATTTTTGTCACAGGGTAAAAGGCTAAGTCAAAGACAGGTTTGATTTGGTTCTTTCACGCTGGTACTTGCGAACAATCGTGCCAGATCGCTGCCTTGGTAGAGGAGGACGTTGATAGTTATCTGCCAATTTCTCAGGGCTCCCCGTCTGCAGCCACTTTGAAGCAACAAAAACGCGCAATGTTTTTTTCAATTCCCATTTATGGCTGCGTTTGTTTCAAGAAATTTCAAGCCTGTCCACAACCACTCAGTTTTACATCTTACTTTAAAGTTGTCGTTGCCCACCAATAGCCAGTCCCATCTTATCCACTTGTTAACTTCACTGCAAGGTTTATCTCACCCACTTTGTTAAATGTAAAATATTATGTTATGGTTACGGCTACTCACTCTGAATGCCAGTGAAGAAAGTGGCGCAATTCCTTTACATGGACTCTTGCATAAAATTGGTCACTGCTCGGCAACCGTCAACATATCGACATAATCAAAGGTGTCATTTCAAAGAGGAGATTTAAACCAGACAGGCGATATTTCGCTTTGAATCATATGAGCCTTAATTCAGTTACAATGGACAATAATATCTCAGTTTCATGTTTGTAATCGACCCTGTATGTTCATGTATGGTGCTCATGCCGCATACATGTACATCATGCGCAATATACGCCGATCCATGCATTGAAAAGATGAATTGCCCCTTTGATCGCCAGTGCAGACACACTGTGGTTGCTCTGTTTGTGTGATGTTTGCTGTTGCGAAAGCCTTCATTTATTGTTGAAGACGAAATGGAAAAATACATTTATATATACATGTATATAGTAATGAACTGGTCAAAAGATGCACGCTATTTGAGTTGGAGGAACATCGATTTAATTTTCTTCCTGCCTAGAGTAACAGAAAATGCACAATTACCATTTGTGATACACCAAAAGAAAGTAATAAAACATATTTACGACCTTAGTGTCCACAGGAAGTAGCCAGATTAAAAGTTAAAGTTCAAAAGTTCAAATTGTATGACAGACGGGGGCTCGAAAAACCCTTACTCCGATATTTCTATTGCACTGTTGAAAATCTAATCGACAGACCTCCACCACTACATGCTATTTCATAGATCCTTCCCTGGGGACCTACTGCACGTTCTGAAATCTCTTCAAGAATATTGACTTGGTAAAACAGCGTGATGTGAAAATCCAGATAAAACATACCTAAAGTAGCTTAATCGGAGAGGAACAGTGTTCACCCATGACCTACCCATACCTCGTGTATTGTTATGGCCAGGCTTTGCTTGCAACAGTTATTGTATTTATTCCATATACGTATAAGAAAAGCAGCTACATCGGGTTCTCTTTACAATGAACAGCATAGTTGGTTTTGTTCTTACATTTGAATGCATGCGAGTCACAAGAACAATTTGACAAGGTTGTCCAGGACATGTCCGACTGGCTGTTTGACCAGGGAGTCGCTAAGATTTTCGGACGCCAGTGAGCCGAACTGTGTATCCTCATAAAAGACCTGATGACACATGAGTTCTGCTACAAGTAAGTGACAACAGGACACAAGAAGAGGGCACAATGTACAGCTTTGAGACTTTCTTACTTGAATGTGAAGGTAAATTTCACTGGTATCGACAACTGTATAACTTACTGTCTCGCAAGAAAGATGTCTTGCCACATCCAGTTTATTTTTGGTGCAATGTGGTTTAAGGAAGGACATTTGATATGTCTTTTTTGGCTTTAACATGCCTTTGTTTGTTGGCAAAGGTAATTTTTGTTATTGTTTTTATGTGTACATTTTATAGCGGACTCAACGGGCGTTTCTTTAAGTGACGTTCTTGAGTTCTTCCAAAGTTGATGCTTATGCTCACATGGGAAGATATACTCATCATATACCTTAGGCAAAAAATGCAAAATATCAGGCTTTCCAGGCAAGGCTTCAACACCTAGGGATGCCCTGACATGATGCTGGTTGCACTCCTTTCGCACGTCATCCAACTCAGATCATTGAATAATCCTGTTGAAGCAGAACCTCAGACACTCCCTGTAATTCAATATGTGGTGATTTATAAATGATACATTCAGCGTATGTAAATCGGCGTGCTATTAAGTGTTCTCCTCGATGTTAACGTGCAGTATAAGAGTCTGACGAATACGGGGAATCCTGCGCGCCTCCAAGATTTTGACCAATCACAGTGCACGAAATCTGTCGACCATTTCCACACGCTCACCGAGTCGACAGAATTCGCGCACTGTGATTGGTCCATGTGTTGCAAACTCTTGGAGTGGCACTGACGTGAATCGCCAGTATTGTTTGCTGGTTTGATCGAATTACTGCAGGTCATTTCTGAATTCCAGACTCGTAATTTCTAAATTGTGCCGAATTGATTTAAATATAGATGTAACTAAGCAATATTTAGTTTGTGTATTGTTGCAGCTAATATAAGGCAACAAAATTGCAGTAAAATTTCACAGACAGACAAAGGCCATTTTTCGAAAGAAAAAATTACCCCAAGATTGTACATAGATAACAATAAGTGAAAAAGTACTTACAAATGTAGAGGGGAAGTGCAGTCAAGCTGACCCTAGTTTACCAACTGCCGAAAAGTGTCGACCCAAAAATGTCCCATCATTTCGAAAAGAGTTCGCCAAAAGCGTTCTGTGCGCTGAGAATGAAAAAGTAGAAAAAAAAGAAGCGGTTACATACTCTCTTGATCTCTCGGATGTATGATTGTTGGAACTTATACATTTTATACGTTTTACGGTTACTTCTAGTGTTCGCTCAAACAATATAAAACCAAATTTTAAACAGCTTTTCAAGACATAATTAGAGTATACTTTCGGTTACAAATATATTTAGCTTCAACATTGTCATAAATACTGTAATTTTTTGATGTAAGAATACGTAGGTATACTCTTGCTCTCCTCGTTGCTACAGGATAGAACAGATGGGGCAGTAATTTGTCATAAGAAGTAGTCAGTAATGTCATTAAAGACCCCCCCCCCAACCGTTTGCGGTTGTTTCATTGCCGGCATAACGAAGGAAAATACAAATACTTGATAAAATGATGTTGTGATAAATCGAAACTCCTTGATAGTTCCAAAACTTTTTAATAGTAGCCAGCTTATGCAGGTACGTTGGCTATCACTACCCCAACAGATAGGATGGCATGGCATAAGTTGTTTTACATAAAGAAAGATCTGAATTTTAGCACCTGGTTATGACGAGAGGTGCTCTTTATTACACATGGCCCTTCTTGTCCGCCATACACAGAATGGATGGCAACTTGTATGTCATCAATTAAGACATTCTCTGTCCCTTTATCCGTCTGGATACAGCGCGGAGCTCCTATGATGTTCAACGAGTACAGGAATGAGAAAGGTGTCATATGGAAGCATGTCAATACAGTAAAAACTTTTATGCTAATCAATACGATGTTCTGTCTAAGGGTTACAACTCTCTTTTTCTGCTTCACGTGGTTCCGTAGAAAGAAAAATCAAAGAGTGATAGCACATACAGGCCTATACGTCCAAAAGTAATTGAATCGTGTGGTAATAATGTACAAGGACTGGCTCAGAGTACAGTTGTGATAAACCAAGGAGAGCTTTGTATCGGCTGATGTAGTTGTACCTTCAAATCACTGTCAGTTATTGCAGTGCTATATTTTAATATAGACTTCAC